AAGAAAAGAATGAATGAAAGCTCATGCCATGCCTGGGCTGCTCTGGTGGCGCAGTGGTTAAGAATCCGCCTGCCAATGCAGGGGACATGGGTTCCATCCCTGGTCCGGGAAGATCCCACATGCCACGGAGCAACTAAGCCCGTGTGCCACAACTACTGAGCCTGTGCTCTAGAGCCCTCCAGCCACAACTGCTGAAGCCCGTGCGCCTAGAGCCCATGCTCCGCAACAAGAGAAGCCACCGCAACAAGAAGCCCTTGCACCGCAACCAAGAGTAGGTAGCCCCTGCTCGCCGCAACCAGAGAAAAGCCTGCGTGTAGCAACAAAGACCCAATGCAGCCAAAAATAAATAAATAAATTTTTAAAAAAAAAAAGTAGTCTGAAGTGACAATCTTTAAAAAAAAAAAAAAAGCTCATGCCATGCCTAAAGAGGCCACCAACAAGACACTGTCCTTGGGTTTAAGAGCAAAAGTGGGGAGGCGGGGAGACTTACAAGAGACATCCTGGAGCCCTACCCATCTCAGTTTTGACTCTTGGTCTTGTTCCCAGTTTGGAGTTCCCAGTGGGGACTTCTCTAGGGTTAGGACTGGGAAACTCAGGTCTTCAGCTACTTAGAAGATGTGATATGTCCTTATGACACAAGGACAAAAAACTGTAGTTTGGTGTTAAGAAAGTATTTTGACAAATCTCAGAAGAAAAACCACATGGTAACTAGAAGCAAAAATAAGACCATACCCAGATCTTCCCAGAAGTCACAAGCTAAAAGATATTCTTAGCACAGACAGAAAGGGCATGCCTCACACATGTCTCATCTATTAGACCTTGCCATAGCCAGGCAGGGCATTTCCAAGTGTACACAGTGCTGATATCATACTTTTAATTTAAGCTAAAAGATGCAATATCTGGTTTTAATTCCCATGATTCAAGGAAATCTTTTTTTAGTCACCAGAAGAAAATTTGAAATCTACTGATACCCCATTATGACAAAGGTTAACAGAGGAGACATAAAAGAGGGGATAGAAGAAGGCTGGAGGAGTAAAAGGATCAAAAGAACTTTGATAATACATGTGAAGATGTGTTATAATTCTACATACTTTGTATTGCATCTTGTCCTTAGGGGTGCTTAATGAATAAACTTAATAAACTAATTAATAGAGAGAGCGATGAAAACAGAGAAGATAAAAAATAACAGAAAAAGAGACAATGTGGGTAGAGGAGATAAGTAAACTAAAATAAAGAGTGAAAGAGGAAGATGCAAAGAGAATAGTTAGAAATAATGCAAAAACAGAGGAAAGAAAAATGGCGAAATGGGGTCATTAGAGAAATGTGTGTATATAGTATATGGTGTGTGAATGTGTGTGTCACAGAGGCAGGGAGAGACTGAACTTAAAACTAGGGCTTGGAGAAAAGGAAATGAAGGAAAAGTTGAAGGTTATAAGAAAGCAAAAGCAATTGTGGGAAGGATGTGGGGTTTGTTAACTGTCCCAACTCTTTCAAAAACTTTTCCACATCTTGCATCACTCTCTTCGTCTTTAAATTTGGCTGCCAACAGGGGAAATCTAATTTGTATATTGGATCTAATTTACAGTATTTCCCCCTAATCCCTCCGTTCATTTTCAAATGCTTTCTTGGAAACATCATATATATATATATATATATATATATATATATATATATATATTTTTTTTTTTTGTATACGGGCCTCTCACTGTTGTGGCCTCTCCCGTTGTGGAGCACAGGCTCCAGACGTGCAGGCTCAGCGGCCATGGCTCACGGGCCCAGCCGCTCCGCAGCATGTGGGATCCTCCCGGACCGGGGCACGAACCCGTGTCCCCTGCATCAGCAGGCAGACTCTCAACCACTGCACCACCAGGGAAGCCCAAGAAATCATATTTTAATATGGCTAAACCCACGGAACATCAAATTGCCTTGAACTTTAAGGTAGATTGAAATTCAACCCAAGATTTAAGAATGAAAGAGTAACTTTAGCAGAAATCTGGTATTTAGCCCCGAAGCGTACCAGCCTCAAAAATTTGGCATTACATGTTCTCTGAAAAGTGACCACACTTTACGTATAAATGAGAGAAAAGAGGGGTCTGTGTTGCCTTTATTTGGGAAAACGATTATATGTTGGAGATTTGGTGAATTATCTGTGCTATGTGAAGCAAATTCAGGCCACAACTATTAAGTAATAATTATTAATACACTTTTAAAATAAAGTTTATGAAGCATTAACAAAAGACTATTTATATATATATGCAAATCCTCTGACCTCTCAGGGCCTGTTATCCCATCTGTGATAAAGGAATTATTTTAGGTATTTTCCTGTTTCAGCCCAAGCAGCACCACGTGTATTGGTTTAAATTTGGGATTTCTGTGTTAAATTGTGTTTGGAGAAAAGATTCTGAAGACAAGACATTGTAAAACCACCAGATGACCCCTCTCCTAGCCACTGCCCTCCAGCAGAAGGGGACCCAACACCCTTGCTTTGTCTTACAAGTTCCCATCAGGAAGCCTCCTCCTCACCCCATCGTTTCACACTCCACTCTCAATCCCTTACCTTAGGCCACTCCTTTGCTCTATCAAGTCTCTCTGGGGCCTGAGGCTGATCCTTTCCCCCATTCTCCGGCACCTGTGACCATTTATTCATGCATTCAGCAAGTATTTTTTGAGCTTTGTTCTAGGGACTTGGCATATATCAGTGAGCAAAACGAAGATCCCTGTGCAGCTTACATGGCAGCAGGTAGCGATCGACAATAATAATAAACAGAAAATAAGCAGTTTGTAGAGGATGCCAGATGGTGATAAGTGCTATGAGAAGAAAAAGTCAAGCAGGGAAAGGGGAACTAAGACTATAAGGAGTCATGCTGAGAAGGAGGATTCTTGGCCCCATTCCTGCAGTTCCAAGTAAGAAGTCTACCTAGGGCTTCCCTGGTGGTGCAGTGGTTGAGAGTCTGCCTGCCGATGCAGGGGACACGGGTTCGTGCCCCAGTCCGGGAGGATCCCACATGCTGCGGAGCGGCTGGGCCCGTGAGCCATGGCCGCTGAGCCTGCACGTCTGGAGCCTGTGCTCCACAACGGGAGAGGCCACAACAGTGAGAGGCCCGCGTACCGCAAAAAAAAAAAAAAGTCTACCTAATCCAGCCTGGCCCTTTATACACTACCCTGGAACTGACCTATGGTCAGAGGATGCGTGTGGTAGAGACAGTACTCAACAAATATCCATACTCGTTATTTCCCAGCCTCCCTTGCAGTTAGGTCAGGCCCATGTGACCCATGCTGGCCAACAAAACGTGAGAGGAAGAGCAGTTGAAAGTCAGTTTGTCTCTTTCATCTCATCCTTACTGTGATGTGCTCACCTTAAAGGGCATTAGTCTAGGCATCACGGCTACAAGATGAAGAAGGCCACCCAACCTGCATCAGATGTGACATGAGGAAGAAATAAACTTCAACTGTTTATGTCACTACGATTTCAGGGCTGTTTGTAACTGAATCATAGTGTAGGCTATCTGTACCAGTATCTGTGAAAGAAAATGAACTGGTAATCATAACATCATTTTCTTCTTTTTGATGGTAAAGTAAGCAAAAAGCCATGAATTTTTACCTCCTCATAAACTGACAGAGGTGTAAAGGTACAATCCTGCCAGGAAAGAAATGAGTAAATTACATTTAGCTTTTGCCCTTTTAGGACTCCATAAATATTCTATGACATATTTTAAGAAAGTATTTTGATTCATGAGCACAATGTACTTTTCTTGGATTCATGTAACAGTAACATTTCATTGAAAAAAATACTTAGTAGAAAATGTGTAATTTGTTTTAATCCAATCAAAGTATTTCTTGGGCCATTTCAGTTTCCTGGTTATTCCCTTGACTTAAATCTCACACTGGAGGAACAATTTGTTTTCTATAAACGTTTTCTACAACACCACTCATTTAAGAAAGACTAAAATATTAACAGAATCAGAGGGAGTTTACAAGCAAATGCAAAGCACAGACAGTATAAACTCTAAGCTGTCCACTGAGAAACTTTAAAATTAAATTTGCCTGTGCTCTAACTCATGGGATCATGCTAAGACCCTTGTCCACATTGTCCTTTAGTGGATTCCAAAGAAAACATTTTGAAAGATAGTCTGAAACTCATAAACATTTGTTAATAAATAAAACCAATCTATATGGAAATACTGATATTCAAGGCCAGACCTATAAGTGTGTAAAGCAAGAAACCACTGAGGGGCGCCAGAAGGACCCAAAGATTCTCCCACAATCTGTCAGGGTGCCTAGAATCCTACCATTAATGGCTCTCTGCTTTGACTCGAAGGATTCTGTTTCTCTGCAACAGCTTTAACAGAAAAGAACAACACAGCTGGAGTAGAACAGGCAAGAGAGACGATGCTGAGGAGCAGGGGACTGGGTTGAATGATGTGAAGATGGTGATAGCAAAACCATGGTCTAAAATAAAGTGCAACAGCTGACCAACTGATTAATAAATCAGAATATTCTTCTAGAACACCTGCTATCTTTAAGACATTATACCAGGCACTCTGAAAGACACAGAAATATATGAGGCAGGACTACTGTCTTCATGAAGTCTGCAGTCTAGTGTTTGGCCTTTGTTATGGAGCCAGAGAATGGACGGCTGGTTAAAGCTAGAAATATGAGTGTGGCCTGTATTCATCCTCAGCATGTCTGCATAAGGCTCCACGGAGATCTAGGTCAGGCAAGTGAAGAGTATTGTGGGACTAGAGAGAACGAGATCTAGAGAAGAGGAAACAAGGATGAAAGGAGCGATGAACTGATAAAGCCATTCTCCCCTTGGAGAGTAAAAGAGTAAAACACTTTTACTCTTTAGTGTGAGAAGAGATTACAGGCTTTGATGCCTGCAGAATTTTATGTCCTTCCACCAAATAAAAAGAAACATAAATTGAATTTCATATAATTAGTTTGTTACATTGCTTTGTTACAAAAGCTTTTTGAGATTTTTGTCAGTTTTAAACACTTACCATCAAACTTTGCAAGTCTGCTAATATCTGCTCCAAGTCCTGAGGTAACTGATAGCGCATGGCGCACTTTAAGGTTCGTTTCCCTGTGAAATTAATTGACACGGCATGAACTTTTAAATGGAACAGCCCAACAGCATCTCACACAAAGCCATCAGGGACACTTCAGCAATCTCAGCACATGCAAAATCCAACACAAGAGATTCAAGAAACTCCCTCTGAATGTCATTCACACCTCCCACACTACCTCTGGAAAATGGACAGGGCTTTGCAGGCTCCTAAGAGCTGGCATTCCACCCACGGCACATCTGTGTAACAACAGAGTAATCTGTTTTGCTATTTGAAAAAACAGAGGATGTAATAAATATGCTTTCATTCAAACCTACTTAGACATCATGCATGAGTTACAAAACACATTAGGAATGGGAACACAGTTGCCAAAAAAAGGAGGCCAGTATCACTCCAGAGTCTGCTATCTATGTAGGAGTTTTACTTGTAAGAGATGGTCATGGCTAATTTCACAGTAGCTGAAATTCAAATGGAAAAAGGAATACAGCTTTCTTTTTCTTGGAGAGTCAAGCCAAGAATCCCATAAGTCTAGAATCACACAACTAGACAAGAACTAAGTAGATCACAGTGAGCTGGTCATCTTCTTCCAGGCAAGACCACATATACACTGGACAGATGGCTCTCTGGTATTCGTGAAATGACCAGCAGTGAAGATTCTATGACCATCACTAAAGTCTTGTGTTTAAAGAGTTTGCAATGCCAGTTTCCTCACTGAGTTCAACCTAATTCTCTTCTACCATAACTTAAGATCATCTGTCAGAGTTCTACCTTTATGGGATGTTTAGTAGTGGGCTAATTCAGTCAACAAATATTGATTGAATATATACCATAGTCACTCATGAACCTCAATGCAGCCACTAAAGGTTACTGTCCTCTTGCAGGAAACAAGTGGTAGGTAAAAAAGCAAATATCGCCTTTTAGAAGTACATGCCAAACCATGTAATAATTGAATTTAGAGAACTGAGCAGGTACCTGAGACTGCATTTAATCTAAACTTCCCATGAGTGAGCTTCACAATCATGTTACGACAATATAGACCCAGCCCAAGGAATGCCCATTGGTGAAACACCTTTCTGCATGAAATATTAAGTTGAATGTATAATTGAAATGTCTTTGTTTAAAAGTAGCCTTATTGATCTAAGTCTATCAGTTCGTAGGAGGCAGAGATGTGTAGGGATTGAAATAGTCAAGAATAACTTCATAATTGAGGCAGATATTGAGCTGGGCTTGACGGAAAAGAGTGAGACCGTGGTGTTGAGGTTAAAGGACCGAAATGAGTTGGGTCATTTAAACGACTTTTCAAATAATTGAAACAGTCAGTCACACCAGCGGGACCAGACAGCCCTCGTTCCATGACCATAAATCCCGTCACTCATCAAAGTTCACCATCATCATGTTAAGTTACTTCCTCAGGCTTCTCTGTACCAGCTCACTTCCACCTTCAGATGTGGAAGCTAAAGGGGAAGAATAATCACACATAGACCTTACTGACAAAAAAAAATTCCCTCTCCAAATCTCCTGATTACTACCTTCATACTCTTCCTTAATCTGCCTCAGTATCTTGATAAACTTCAAAATGATTTTCAGCATAAGAAACAATACAGAAAGATCCTTTGTACCCTTTACTCAATTTCCCCTCTGGTACCATCTTGCAAAACTATATCACAATATCATGAGCAGGATACTGACATTGACAGTCAAGATCCAGAACATTCCCATCACCACAAGGATTCCTTCAGTCTCCCTTTATGGACACACTCACTTCCCTGCCTCCTGAAACCCATCTTTAACTCCCAGCAATCCCTAATCTGCTGTCCACTAATTTTATAGTGATGTTATATAAATGAAATAATACAGTATGTGACCCTTTGGGATTGGCTTTTGTCCACTCAAAATGATTCTGTGAAGATTCATCCAGGTTGTCGCGTGTATCAATAGTTCATTCCTTTTTATTGCTCAGTAATATTGCACGATATGGATATACCACAGTTTGTTCAACCACTTACCTGTTGAAGAACATATAAGTTGTTTCTAGTGTTTGGATATTACAAATAAAGCTGCCCCAAACATTTGTATATAAGTTTTTGTGTAAACATATGTGATTCCTCTGGGATAAATGTCTGGGAATGAAACTGCTGGGTGATATGGTAGTTACATGTTTAGCATTTTAAGAAACTGCCAAACTGTTTTCCAAAGTGATTGTAGCCTTTTACATTCCCATCAGCAATGTGTGAGTGACCCTGTTTCCCAACATCCTTGCCAGCACTTAGAGTTCTCACTATTTTTTCTTTTAGTTATTCTGATAGGTGGGAAGTGATATGTCATTGTGGTTCTAATTTTAATATCCCTAATGGCTAATGTTGTTGAACATCTTTTTGTCTGTATATCTTTGCCATCTGTTATCATCTTTAGTGAAATGTCCCTTCATGTCATTTGCCAATTTTCTAACTGGATTGTTTAGTTTTTTTTACTGTGGGGTTTTGAGGATTTTTAATATTTTCAAGATACAAGTCCTTTGCCAGGTAGATAGGTTGCAAATATTTTCTCCTAGTCTGTAGCTTATTTTTTCACCCTCTTAACAGGGTCTTTTGCACAGAAAAAAATTTTAATTTGATGAATTCCAGTTTGTCAAATTTTCCTTTCATGTATTACGCTTTTGGGATCAAATCTAAGAACTCTTTGACTAGCCCTAAATCTTGAAGATTTTCTACTATGTTTTTCTCTAAAGGTTTTATAGTTTTGTTTTGTTTTTTTGTGGTACGCGGGCCTCTCACTGTTGTGGCCTCTCCCGTTGCGGAGCACAGGCTCCAGACGCTCAGGCTCAGCGGCCATGGCTCACAGGCCCAGCCACTCCGCAGCATGTGGGATCTTCCCGGACCGGGGCACGAACCCGTGTCCCCTGCATCGGCAGGCGGACTCTCAACCACTGCGCCACCAGGGAAGCCCCTATAGTTTTATATTTTACATTTGAATTCAGTTTCCTTAATAGCTACAGGGCTATTCAAATTGTCCATTTCATATTGGATGGGTTCTGATAGTTTGTTTTCCGATGAAGTGGTCCATTTTATCTACTTTGTTAAATTAATGTATATAGAGTGGTTTGTAGTATTTCCATATCCTTTTGATGACTTCAGGATCTGTCATAATATCCCCTGGTTCATTCATGATATTGTTAACTTGGGTCTTCTCTCTTTTTGTCTTTCCCTGTCTTCTTAAAAGTTTGTTTATTTTATTGATGTTTTCAAAGAACTAGCTCTCTGTTTCATTGACTTTTCTCTATTGTTTTTCTATTTTCAAATTCATTGGTTTCCACTCTTTATCTCCTCCCTTCTGCTTGATTTGAGTTTATTTTGCTATTTTCTAGGTTCATGAGATGGAAGATTAGATCATTGACTGCAGGCTTTTTCTCTTTTCAAGTGTATACATATATGGCTATAAATTTCCCTCTTAGCACTATTTTAGCTTCTGCCCAGACCAAGGGTAAGATCATACAGGCTGAACTCTATTTGGATAGCTCAATACAGCATTTATTTTGAAAGCAGTGGCTAAAACCATGGGCTCTTTTGTCAGCTGCCAGGTTTGAGTCCTGGCTTCACTCTCTAGAAGTTTGGGACAAATTATTTCATCTCTCTAAGCCTTCATTTTCTCAGCTGTACAACAGGGCTTATATAGTACCTACGTTAGGATTAAATGATGAAATTCATCTAAAGCACACATATAGTATCTTTAAAATGTAAGCATTCAATAAATATTTTGATGTCAGACAGACAAACTGAATCCACTGAAACAGAATTACTATACAGTCTATAACTAAATTCCAAATTAGCATCCATGTCAAAACTGCATCCTACTCCATTTCTCTCTTATCTCTCTACATCTTCATTTGACCCAGTTCCAAAAGTTGCCTTCTAAAGTAACATCAGTCCTCTTTCTTCAAGGGATCTTTTCCCAGCCGCTCCGCGGCATGTGGGATCCTCCCGGACCGGGGCACGAACCCCTGTCCCCTGCATTGGCAGGCAGACTCTCAATCACTGCACCACCAGGGAAGCCCTCTTCAAGGGATCTTGATTGTCACTCCTCTCATTTTCCTTAGACAATCACTTGAAATTAAAAACAAACAAACAAACAGAAAACCCTTCCAGGGAATCTCAGTGAAAAGTCCCTGTGTAAAGCTATTTACGTATATATGTTTAGCTCGCTGTTTCTGAAAGAAATAAATTTAAGAGAAAAAACAGAGGTTTCACAAGATCTGCAAAGTAATTAGCAAATGGACTTTGCAATTTAGAGTCTTATTTCTTCCAAGAAAGTAAAATGAAGCATTAGGGCCTTTTTAGATTTTTTTTTGATTGAAATAGAGTTGATTTACAATATTTCAGGTGTACAGAAAAGTTCTTCAGTTACATATATATATATACATATATATATTCTTTTTCAGATTCTTTTCCATTATAGGTTATTACAAGATATTGAATATAGTTCCCTGTGTTATAAAGTAGGTCCTTGTTGTTGTTTATCTATTTTATATATAGTAGTGTGTATCTGTTAATCTCAAATCCCTAATTTATCCCTCCCCCCTTCCCTTTGGTAACCATAAATTTGTTTTCTATGTCTGTGAGTCTATGCTTTGAAATAAGTTCCTTTGTATCATTTTTTTTTAGATTCCACGTATAAGCGATATCTTATGGTACTTGTCTTTCTCTGTCTGACTTACTTCACTTAGTATGATAATCTCTAGGTCCATCCATGTTGCTACAAATGGCATTATTTTGTTCTTTTTTATGGCTGAGTAATATTCCATTGTATACATATACCACATCTAAGAATAAGGTTTAAGGTTTAAGTTAGGTTCTGTTTCTAAAGCTATTACTCTTTTTTTTTTTAACATCTTTATTGGAGTATAACTGCTTTACAATGGTGTGTTAGTTTCTGCTTTATAACAAAGTGAATCAGTTGTGCATATACATATATCCCCATATCTCTTCCCTCTTGCATCTCCCTCCCTCCCACCCTCCCTATCCCACCCCTCTAGGTGGTCACAAAGCACCGAACTGGTCTCCCTGTGCTATGCGGCTGTCTAAAGCTATTACTCTTAAATAAATTGAAAACCAATCTAAATAATTATTTTGACCTTAATAACTTACCCATCAAGTTCAGCAGTTTCAATATAACAGAGGCCATGTGGCTCACTACTTGATAGGAGAAGCAGATCAGCCTATTTTGAAAAACCAGGATAAAGAATACTTGAAAAGGGAAGATTGATTGAAAGCCTTCTACATTGTATCATCCCTCCACTACTAATGAGCCATTAGAGCCTTAGAAAAAAAGTGAGAGGTGAAGTTCTGTTCCACCTCTCTACCATATGCCCTGAATCAAAGCCACCCTCCACTTCCTTGTTCCTGGTTTGCACGCCCTTGACCATCAGAACATAAGCAAGGGGAGAGATAGCATATAAATTAATAGCCACTTTATTTTTTTAATAGAAATGTTTAAATTTTTATATATTTCTATATAAAATGTATATATCTCATAGAAATACATAAAATTCTATTTTCTTTCTTTGATAATTACTAATGGGAAATATAAAACTTTCCCCAATAAATAAGATAACTGGAAATACTTATATGCACATACTTTAATTCCGTGGTTATCAGTTAAGAGCTGAGGCAGGGAAAGAAGATGGGGAAAGACAAAAGTAAAGTAGGATGGAGGAAACTGAAAACAATAGAAAAAATAAGAGAGGCAAGGAAATTTTTAAAAGGGAAAAGGATTAAAGGAAAAACAAGATTAAAACATAAGCAAGAGAAAATAAAAAGATGGTGGCATGTAAGAAAAGGGAAAGAGAAGAAAAGCAGGGGCTAAGCAAGAGGGCAGGATAGAATAGAAAACATGGTAAACAGAAAACATTCAGAGGTGGGAAGCTGGTCTTTCACAGAGATAAATTATTCTATTCGGCCATCCATTTGTGTTTTGGAAATGACCCATCACAATTCAGTTTTAGAATTCTGGTAGCTTTCTACATTGGGAAATTGTTTATTTGAAATTTCAAAACTGATTTTTAAATGAGGGTTTTTATGAAATTCTGAAGGTTTTACATGTCTAAAAAGAACTGACTAAAATTCTAGCAATTTATTTTGACATATTAGCCTAACAATTTTTTAGTTCTGTCTAAATGTACAACTGGCATTCCAAAACTGTAAACGTTTCTTATCTTTGTTTTTTAAATATTTGAATTGTTCCATTCTCAAACCTTGGAGGTTAAATTTAGAATCAATCCACTGATTTCATTGTCTCAAGCTTTTAAATTTTCAACTCAAAAATAGGCGTGGTGTAGGTGCATGTGGGGGGGAGGGGGTATAGTTTTGTCTAAGTTGTAATAAAACAGAACTAAAAGGCAACTCAGTGACAACCCCTAACCGAATAAATGGGTTTGCACTATCAAGACTCCGCCTCAACTCTGGATGAAAAAGCCAGAGATGCCTGTCAAGGCAGAAGTTATTTATTTTCTGACTTCTCACAATGTGACCTGAGCAAACCCGCTCTGAAGAGAACATGTGAAGAGTGTATGCCGCTCTTGAGCCAAAAATTACCCATCTTGAGTTTAAAGTGGAAAAATGTTATGAAAATTTACCTTGATTTTATTTCTCACATTTAAATTTCAATGAATAAAGGCACAAGGCACAATAGCAGTAGAGCTTCATGCTCTTCAGCCTATGGGTCTCCTCCCCAAGTTTAACAGGATCATTTCAAAAATAATCCACAATTCCCTAATTCTATCATCTGTGATTGAAATAGTTGTGAAGTTTAGAGAAAGATATCCATTTGTACCTAGAGTTGCTTTTCTTCAAAACTCTGCCTAGTAAGAACCATTACTTTTTTCTTGTTACAGTTTAACTTTGAGCTCAGCTGCCTCAAGACATATTCTTGATAAACAAAGGGAGGAATTGTCGGCCACAGTTGGCTCAGAACATGTGACTGAGTCACCACTGCCACCTTCTGACCAGATTCTTTCCTAAGCAGTGACTCAACTTCCTAGAGGCATAAACTGAGAACTGTAAACCCCACGGGTTCTGGGCTAACTCTTCCTGTTCTCTCTACCCCCTGGGGACCTGGGACTTCTACCTTCCTGTCTTCTACCTTCCCTGCCTCCTCCTGTCACCTCCATTGTCACCTTTCTCTATGTCCTCTGAACCTTCCTCCTGTTTTCCCACTCCCTGATCTCTGTCCTGCCTCCCCTCATTCTTCCTCTGTTCTCCCTGCCCCACTGCTGAGCCTTGGTCTTTCCTTTGGCTGACTTCTCCCTTCAAGTTTTTTAAATTCATTAGTTGAGGAGGAAGTGTGAAGGGGCAGAACCATAGAAGCATCCAGTGGAATAAGTGACCAGCTCACTCATCATCATGCCGTCCTATTTCCACGTGCACTCAACAGTCATTCTGGAAAGGAAGGGCAAGAGAGCTGTAGTAACAGCCCTGTTAGTCCTGGGTTGCCCTTTGGTCAGAGGTTCTGGGAAGGGAGTGGAGCAACACATGGGTGGTCTTCGGGCCCAACAAACCCCATGACTCTGTGAGCCTCAAGTCAGTCCTCCTTAAACTGATCCCTTTAGTATCTCTCAGGGACCCAACTCCTAGTCGATCCAGAAACTGGTGTTTGAGCTGTAGGTGTTTATAATACCAGTAGCCAAAATTTGGTGGGGACTTACTATGTGTCTGGCACTGTGCCAATAGCCTTACGTGCAATATTTTATTTAACTCAAAGAAATCCTAAGTGTAGGTCTTGTTATCTCCACTTTACAGATAAACAAAGTGAGACTCAGAGAGGTTCAGTAACTTGTTTGCGGCCACAGAGTAAGTAGGGCACCAGGATGTGAATCTAGTCAATCTAAGGCATTTACTGCCAGGAGTACTAAATTAAATAAAAACTTCTTACCTTCCAGGATTTTATAGTTTAGTAAAGGCAGAATATGACAAGGGTTCTAAGTTTCTTATTAACCAAGTGCTGTGGGAGGAATGCAAATGAGAAAGGGAGTACATCGGGTTGGTAGTTGAGGAAAGGCCTGATGGAACATTCTGGATGGAATGGAGGGCAGGTCTCCGCAGGCAGAGGCGTTAGCAGGAATGCAGCACGGGGAAGGGAAGGTGTGATTACTGGAGCTCACGGGGGGTCCAGGCAGCAGTTAATTCCAACCACACCCATCTTCCTTAGACCCCCATTCGTACTTTCTGCTGTCAATTATTGGTGCCTTTTCCCCACGCCCTTCCAGGAAAGGCTCAGCTATGTCTCCCAAGAATTAAGGAATGTTTTTCAACACAATGTTCCTTCTCCCACCTTCCACAGGTAACAAAAAGCCCAAGCAGGGGCTTCACGGAAACCTGAAAAAATATACCAGCCAGAGGAACCTTGAAAACCTTGAACATCTTTGAGTTCTAGACGCCAATGGCACTGGACTCCTAGATTTACTAGGCATGATTAATGTTTGTTGAACTAAAGAACAAATGAAGCAAAACCTCAAGTGATTATAACACCTGAAAGCTGTAGAGTTCTCTAAGTGTTTACAAAACACTCTCACATAATTGTGTCACTTTATTCTCTCAACAACCCCATTAGGGGATAATATTGTTCCCACTGTGTGTATAAGAAACCTGGGAAGGTAATTTCTGGTCTCACAAGCACTAGATGAGCTAAATTAACCCATGGAATGCCCATACCCTTTACAAAGTCATGGTGAAAGTTTCATCACATCTAATAGAGGATCCCAAGACTCCAAGCAATATAAGGCCATACTCACGGCCACATGGAGGTTAAAGGGCAAAGCTAGAACTCGGAACTCTGATCCCCAAATGTATGCTCTTTCCACGGGTTGGCTACAAAATCACTGGAATACAACTATGAAAAACAGACAGCATTTCACTTCGTTGGTGTTCAAAAACCAAAACTACAATGGTAAAAGAATATTGGGATTCGATTCATGACGTGATGGAAAGATAAATTTGTAGAATTAATTGGAACACCATATTTGGATCTCCCTTCATTTTTTTTTAAGCCATTCTCACATGTGGAATTCTTCTTTATTTTCTTTATCATCTACAAAATTATCTTTTCTTTTATTCTTTTACAGTGCAAAAATAAGAATACAAAATGGCTCATGCAGTATGAGTATACTTATGGAAAAATATGTTGATGTGGACAAAAGTCAGAATGAAGTCATAAAACTGAAAATGGGTAAGATTATAGTTAATGTTTTCATTTAAAATTTAAATTTCAGATCCAGCAAATGCATGTTGAATGTCTCACATATTTTTAAAAAAGGAAGATTTATTTCAGCAATTAGAGTAAAACAAGTAACACTGATTTGAAGCTATAAAACTTAAAATACCTAAAAAAGGCAATTCAACCACAAAATGGCCTCCCCGGAAGGATGTCCAAAAACAGTGCTGAAAAAGACTGGAGAAAATGCCCTGATGATGGGTCAAGAGAAAGCCAAAGCCTGCCCATGGTCAGCACTGGAGGTTAGGTTAAACTAGCCCTTTCATTTCTTAAGGTGAAATTTTCAGTTCTGTAACAGAAGAACGTCTTTGTTTTAAAGCAAAAATTTACTGTTGTAAACACTGAAAACATGAAGGCCTTTTTGTGGAGGGGATGGAGGGTGGACTGTTTTTCAAATAAGCTAAACAATTAAATTCATGTGATGTTCAAATATGCTCATGTCCAGTAAGAGGTTTATTTCTACCACCAGATGAGAAGAGCCAAACAAGACAAGAGCACTGCTGTCAAGTAAAGGAGGAAGGTAGGCCTGGCTCCCAGGGTCCAGGCTCTGGCAGTATCAAGAACTCTGCAGTGTGTTTTTCTCACACAGTTTACTTAATTCTTCTAATGGAAGTCAATCTTATTGTGATAACTGAATTATGCTCTACGATTTTTTTTTTCTTGGTCCCGCAGTAAAAATAGGAGCTCTGGAAATTCAGCTCAAAAGTGTTTTAGAGTTTTTTTAAAAAAGGTAAGGGGCAGTTTTCCTTATTGGGAAAACAAAGGTGAGTAACTTCTGAACATACCAGCTAACTGGTCATCTCAGGCAAGCTCCTTTCCTTCCTTAAAATGTACTGATATGGTGACATAAATCCAGTTAGAAGTTCTAAGTTTGGACAGCTAGAGGTTATGCGTCAGAATTGGGTGCAACATTCTCTGGCCACTTCACCTCCATCATCCAAGCCTAGAGGCCCTGACTCTGGAAGCCCAGTCGCAAGGTAATCAGGACCAACTTTTCCAGTGGAGGCAGGAGCAGCATATGGTAAAGGGAGGGGTTAAAACTCCTGGCTCTCCTACTGACAAGCTATCTGATGGCACTGTGCCTCCATTTTCTCGTCTGTAAAATGGGAACAATAATAGTACATAACCTGCCGTCATTGGGATAATGTGAGGATTAAATGAGTTAAGTCATATAAAGAGCTTGTAATATTGTCTGTCATGTGGCACATAGTCAATAAAGGCGAGCTATTATTATCATGATCTCCATGATCTGGTTTCCCAAGATGTACCTCTGTGCAGTAACTCCGAAGTGAGTCTCTTTTAGAGACCTGTGATCGTTGCTCCCCAAATGTAAGCTCTCTGACAGCCCCTGCCAACTGATGCCAGGGAATAGGAAGTTATATTAGCACTTCTAAGTGATTACAGCAGTTCACCCACAGAAACATTTATTTGTCCTCGAAAACAGCTTCATAGGTGCCGCGTAGCCGCACATGGATAAACTTTGAACAAAGTGACCTAATCAAGAGGCACTGTGGTGTTTTGGCGTTTGAAGGAATCCCTTCCTCACTTATCCAAAGATTAAACCAACAAGCTATAATTGTATGAGTCAGACAGAGATCAATGGAGATAAAAATATCATCTTTGTCACTGATCAAGCTATTGGAGACCAGGCTTTAGGTCTGTGGGCCCAATGGGCTTGCTAACACTTCACCCCTGTTAGACTCATCTAGTCATAGTTGAAGCTCTCTGGAAGCTCGAAACTACCTGGACCCTCTCGCTACCCCCACCATGGGGATCTACTCCTGTAAAATTGGTACTTCGAACGAGCGGGGCAGAATGTACTCTCTGTACACAGACAGAGCCCAAAGAGAAAGGGAAGGAAGGAGGTGCCAGGTCACGCACACCACTCCCCGCCCCAACACTTAACAATCGGAGAAGTCACTCCTGGGAGAAGGGAACACGCAAGGGGGTGCAAGACGCTTAGCGTTATTTTGGGGCTGCCCCTCCAAGTGAAAACAGGAAGGATGAACCTAGGAAAGAGTAGGGAGTAAGCATTTCTACCCCATCATGTAGCCACAATAAAAAGGCTACATCTGCACTGTCCAGTAAGGTAGCCACAAGTCACACGTGGCTATTTAAATCTAAATTAATTAAAATTAAATAGAATTTAACATTCAGTTGTTCTAGTCACATTTCCAGTGCTCAGTATCCTACAAGGTGCTACTGGCTGTTCTATATTTGGACGCACAAATATAGAACATTTTCTTCACTGCAGAAATTTCTATTGGACAGTGCTGGGACACGTGAATCACTGACTTCATGGAAACTCATCTAAGTGTGGGATTCATTTTAAATCAATGATAATGATGCGTTCATGGAACTGGTTTCCTTCCATGTGACGCCTGCACTTACACTTGACTTCCATGCTTCATTCCACAGAAAGGTTTGCAATAACAAGCAAGCATGTGTTATTTTCTATAACACAGAAAATACAACTAAATTAAAAACAAAGACCAAGGGAAGTGCAAATTAGAATATTAAGGCTAGAGGGCAAGTTGGAGCACAGATATACTGTCCATGAGGTCCTTGGAGTTAAGAGATTTGAGACACAAATTTGACTCCTGCCTTTACGGGATTCACCTCAAAGAATCTGATAAATGAACATAGTATAGTATCAGTGAATAACTGAGTTCAATCCAATATTTACCCTTGTTAGAGTATATCCATAGGGCTCTTAAAACATTATTTTTACTGAATACCTTAAGCAGAAATTACCTAGCATTTCCTCTGAAGTATAATTCCAAATAAAATAATAGTTAAGTGTTTGGGATCCTTTAATTTTTCCTAATTCCACTATATCTAGCACCATGCCTGGCATAAAGTAATTTCCAAAAAAACTTTTTTGAATGCACACATCCTAGAATTCTATATATGCCCATTAAAAAAAAAAAAAGTTAAGGTTATCCACTAAGAAGCACCAAAACTTTTTCATTGTAATTATCTTAATTGAAAGTAGAACCAAAATGAGTTATATGGAGCCCTTTCTTCTCAAGCAAAGGACCCTGAATATATGTGATCTTTTCTTAATTAGGGCATATTAGTACCTCATGGATCCAGAACACCCTGAATTTTGGAAATTTATAACCACTTTTCTTTTTTTTTTCTGTCTTCTTACTTAGAAAAGATTGACATTAATTCATTCAGCCAACATTTACTGACTGCCCCCTATGATCCCACATGGCACTAGATGTTATGGATCAGGCAAATCAATGTGCTCCTTGCTTGTAAGAATCTTGTAGTCTAGTCTCAGCTCAGACAGAGAATCACAGCAACTACGGGCTGGAAGGGATCTCTGAGATCATACAGTGCTCTTGCACCTGGATTTGACATGTGAAGAAACAAACGAAAGGCAGAGAAGATAAAGTGCTGTCACTGAAGGAATGGAGCAAAGACTCTTCTCATCCAATTCCCCACCCAGTATCCTTACACTGTATTTTACACTAAGCCTCAATCTTTCCTACAGGGTATGTTCTTCTAACACATGCTCCCCTCAGTGTACTGCTCCTAGTATTTAATGAGCTGGAAAATAAGCTGGACATGCTACTTTAAATTGTGTCCGAAAAAAGTAAATAAGTTTTGAAAACCTGGCAGACTGCCCTAGGTCTAAGGAACCCAGGTTACATCGGTGGGCTCTGAGGCCTCCATTTTGGCTGCACCAACACCTTTTTGCTTATTTTTGGCTCTCAGCTATTTTCTAGAGACTTGAGGTTGTCAGAGAAATAAGCACTCCTCTATTTAAAGTGCGCACTCTTTTTGAATGGCCTATCCACTGACTAGTCACCTTAGCATGGGTTGTTCCAGAGAATCAGTATACACAGACGATACATCAATGAAAGAAGACTGTTTCTGAAAGTGAATGTTTAAGAGTCTTAACTGAGTTGTTCTTGTAAATAGATCTTGGGGCCATTTCTTTTATGCTGTGGGAAAATGTCGCAAATTTAATGAAGAACACAGCTTGATAAATAAAATGGCATTAACACAACAATTTTCATGAGTAATCTAATATATATTTGACATAAAGACTACAATAGTTATAATTTTTAATCTCTGATCTGGATAGCTTTTATAGCCTTGCATTTAATACGAACTATAGTTAGTCACATATATTTTAGTTTTAACTGACCCCTTGAATTTTATTAAGGAAACTGTAACACAGGCAGCTTGAGAATATAAGTTATAGTGCATTTGGTATACAAAGTAAAACCTCATAAATAGCATTTATTAAGAACATTCAATCAACATTTTCTGATCTTGATTATTCAGGAAAGAACATCCATTCTCTCTATAGCTAATCTTTTCTTCTATGATACTGCACATTAACAGTATTAATTCCGTTATTGGGGGGATAATATTCAAACTATGTGAGAACAAACTATTTTTAAAGTACTCTGGAGCATTTTAAAAGCTCTTATTTACATCAAACAATTGACAGACTGATTTTAAATATTTTTTATCTATTAATTTCCCAAAGGAAATAACAAGGTGATAATCACTCAGCCTTATCTGAGTTATCAGGTTATTGAAAGTAATTAATCAAATGTCTTTCAAATATTTTATAATTGAGACTTTTTAATAATACATCCTGGTATTCCCTCCTTAATTACGCTAAATTAGCGCAGATTTACTAAATTTGCAAATGTAAATATTTTAGTACATATGCTATTTTAACCTGAGATAAATTTCTTAAACAATACTCACAGCAACAAACTGGTTATTTTCTAATTTAATGATGTCTCCCACTTTGACATTCATCCATTTTTCATTCTGCAGTCTAAGAACAAAAACAAAATTAATTTTTTTCGGGAACAGAGAAGAATCAAGAGAATGTATTCACAATGGAGCATCATATGACAGAAGAAGCTGATAAGACTTTTTTTCTAGAATACTAAATTCAAAGAACCTTGCATAACAAAGTCTTTTACCTGAGTGATGTGGGAACTAAGGCCCAGAGAAGTCAAGTGATTTGCCCAAAGACACCCAGTGAGTTAGTTATCCCTGGGGCTAGACTCAAAATGCCTAACTCTTGGCTGTGTGCTCTTTCCACCACCCCATGGTACCAGCTTTACACAGCAGCTATTAACTCTTACTTGCATATCCTTGGGCAGAATATTTAAAAAAAAAAACTCAGGGGGAAGGAAAGAAAGAAATTCAATCATTAACATTCTTTTCAACCTCTGTATTAATAAATATAGAAACATCACTGCTGTTGTCTCAGAAGTCTGTTTAACTGGAGGCAAGAAGTGAAGGAGACAGAAGCAAGGGGGCAATAGCTAAAATGCAAGTAAGAGGAAAAGAATAAAAATTCAGGAAAGGACAAGAACAGCAATGGGTGACAAAAGAAGCCTTAGAACACTGAACAAGAAACACCACCTACAAATTATCCACAGCACTCTGGCCAAAGGGCAGGCTTGGTGGCATTCTAACGGCTAGGACCAACAGCTCAGAATTGAGAACACAGTCAAGATGTTGCACTGTTTTCTTCGAGGCTCGTGTATATAATGGAGTCGCAGGTCTACCCTTCACCAAGTTCAAAGGGGTTTATGACAAAAAGCTATTGTGTCTAGCTGGTCAGGCCCCTCGCGACAGTTAGGTAGACAGGCCATCTGGAAACAGACCACCTGTGGCAGTATCCGTGATGCTAATCATCCTTTCTGAAGTTCTCTGAAATGTAAACCAGTTGGAGACCTTCATCACACTTCTTTCTCAGCGATTCACTTCTAGGAGAGAAGGCTGGGACAAGTCGGCCAGGTTCCCCAACAAGTTAAGGTGGGCAGGTTAACTTCATTGTGCAGTTTTTAAGAAACAACCTAATTTACTTCTTTTATAAGCTGGAAAACAGTTTTAAATATTTATACAACTATGAAATATGCCTCACACTATCAACCCTGCTGGGTCATTTGGCTTAAACACTCAAAGAATTTCTCTTTAATACGGATCCAAGTACATGTTGTTCTGGAAAGTTTTCATTTGCAGCATTTTCATCTCTAGCCAGAATTCAATCATTTTTCCAATGCCATACTTTTCTGCACTTTATCTAGTTCAATGACAATGAAAGACCCTAGGAAGTCTTTAAATTTCATTTTATTTATTTTTACAGGTATGGATAGATTATGTGCTGGTCTATTTCTCCTGGGGTATCTCCTTTGGAGCATTAGTGACATTTCTCAGGAGACAGTATCTTAGATAAAATGAAAGTGCATCTGCTTCAAGAAGAAGCTGAGATGATACTAAGTCCCATTTGCAAACTTCGATTCCTCCTACCTGTATACTATAAGCTCTACAAAGGACCACGTCCTACCTCTTCCACCAAAATGGAAAAATCAACCCAAGGTAAAAGAAAACTCTACAGGACCTCTTATACATTTTAAAATGCACACTTGAGAGTTAAGTTTGCACGGGTAAGTAACAATAGCCACTATTTGGGGTAATAAATTCTAACTTGTCTAGTGTCATAATATTTCCCCCCATAAAACCAAAGCAATTGGAAATATGTTTTTAAAAGTCTGGTGATATCCATGGGAATTAGTTGAATTAACTGCTACACTTGGAAAAATACTGGAATAAAATCTCTTTAAGAAAAAAATTTGCAAAATCCCAGGGCACGCAAAGAATCCCTGATAAGAAAGAATCTGATATGGTCAATATGGATTCCTACTGGGACAATACAGAGAAGTGATAAAGTAGAGAAAAATCCCTTCCCTCATGCCAGATTCTCATGCCCATTCTCCTCCTACCCACACGCACCCCTATCTGTATTTTACCCTCTACTTTCTAACCTATTAAATATTTCCAAAAATAGAAAAACACTCAGAATAAGTCATCTGACCAACCCCCACTAAGATCTGACCATTAGTCTGCTAATGTCATCCAACAGTCCAAGAAAGCAGAAAATATTTGTAATACCATGTATGAGCCCAGTCTCCCTTACTTTAACTCACTCTACTCCTTTTTCTCTCTTTCTCTCTTGCCACCTGTCTGCCCTCTGACCAGAACATATACCTCGGAGCTCCTCTTCCCAAAAGGCCCCTTTGTAACTCCAGATATCTTCTAACACCTGCTCTTATCCTTGGTCACCTACCCCTTTCCACCTATGCCAATGGAAATTCCTTCCCTAAAAATGAGCACTCCAAACACTTTACTTCCAAAGTCTATGACTAACAGTATTTGAAATCTTAAAAACCTTCTGGTATGTACATGTACAAATTCCACAGGACACAATATCACCTCTGTGGGCTATGAGCTATAGAGAAGTTCACAAGGCAACAATGTTTGTGACAAAATTTTTCAGAACTCGAAGCAAAATATTGTTGCGAAGCTACACAAACATGGGAGAAATTTCCTCAAAGGAAATATTATCCAAAACTAATGACCAATATGACAAAAAACAGCAAGTGGTATTCCCTGGATGTTGACCCTGACCCTAGCGCTATCCAACTATTTCATCAATAACCTACACAACCAACCCACAGACACATTTGTCAGACTTGTACACAGCATCCTACCAAGAAGAGAGCATAACTCTTACAAAGAAGATTGTGACAGAAAGTTATAACTTGAAGAGGCTACCAGAAACTGAACGAAGAGGAAGAAGTACAAAACAGATTATTCTGGAGAGGAGAAAGTAACACTCTACAGATGTAATTAGGGTTTTGAAGAAAAAGGGCCTGGAGATATCAGTAAACCATATGTTGTGTGTGATGTCTTGGTTAAGCCTCTTATTTGAATATATATCTGTAGAACAATCAATATGTATAACACAATCAGAGGAGTTTTTTTAATGTTATTTCCTATTCTTTCTTACCAGGTAATGATAACTGCCTTTAACTAGGACCTCAGAGATACACTTCAGTTAGCACTAAGGATCATAGCTACAAAAGTACCCAAACTTACTAACAAGTATAAACTGATAAAGATCTGCAAAGGAATTTAAATCGAATATATTTTAAATCCCACCATTTTTCTTTTCCTACACACTACCACCACCACTGACTTTATAACATCAAAGACATATCAGAAGACTGGAGGGACAGATAGGAAAATTTCCTTTAAGGCTCATCTTCAAAATATTTCTAGACTTCTAAGATTTTAGCTAGTATAGTAATTTCATTTTGCCATCATCCTGAAACAACGAAAACACACACTCCCTGGTCCTCCATGTGCGGTGCAGCTGTTCCCAAGACTCATGTTTGAAGCAAGCTTGCGTCATAGCTCTGTGCAGGGAACACAGGGTGGCCTTGTGGGACGTGAAAGTGACACTTGGCTCCGTAGACTCGGCACCTTCAAACTTTGCTTTTACCGTTGTCAAGAAAAGCCCTCCCACTCTAGTAGAGGATTTGTAGTATATAAATACTCTGAAAGCAAGTTAATTCATGTAATTGCACTGAATCAAGAAACTCCAAGATTTTTAAATATGCTTCAAGTATCAGTATCACCACATAATTGCTTCAGGTTTTGAAATGGACATAATCTAGCTAATGCTTCTTTGAACCAGATTTTTCAAAAATAGTTGGGGTAATAAGTTAGCTTTTACCTTATAAGCTCACAAGCCAATCACTACATAATAAGCCAAAATTCAAGAAAAGGACTCATAAAATTTAAATTCCAAAGGTACCATAAAACATATGGGGTTAATTTTCACAGAATAGTGACTAGAATTATTTTGAGGAAAGAATTTTTAAAAACACACCCACTAACTATATATCTACTCTCAGAACATCCGAGAATCTGAGTTCTGAGAAAAGGTGGTGAGAGATAGCAACTGTACCTAATAATTGTTGATAAATTTGTCTGAACCTGCTTCTTCCTGACAAGGCATAGCATACTAGGAGCTGCTACAATTTGCTGAGGACCTCCCTGAGAAAATGAGAGTGGGATAGCACCTACCATTCTCCATGTCACTGAACCACTGGCTCCAGAGGCTAGAAATCAAGTATTTACCGCGAGCAAGATACCAAGCCCATTGCTGAAGCTTAAGGGGCAGAAGGAAGAGATCTTCATGGGTCTCCTCAAGGCTTCTGTCATCCTTTCCACAATCTAATTTTCCTGATTGCCCATTAGCATCACAGATTCCTGAAAAGAAGATTTCCTCAAAAGCTACAGAAGTTATGTTGGCATACTAGAGAAAGAAGATAAGAAGGTCAGTATAACTGACCTCACCTAATTAACCAAACAACCCACATACACTGAGCTTGCTTTCTTCCTTAATCTCAAGCCCATGTCAGATCTACAACATACAAAAGTATACAACTGCTCATACAGACTTTGTTTTATTCACCACTGTATCTTCAGGACCTAGAATAATGCCTAGTTTAGAGTAGGCATTCAGCATTTGTTGAATGAATGATAAGTAAATTAATGAATATAGAATCATTATTTCTAAAAACAGTTGTTGAATGACAGCATTTCCCTGAATGTCTAATAAGAATTATAGCAATTAACAATTTATTTAGTGCTTACTGTATTCCAGGGAGTGTGCTGATCGCTTAATGTATAGGGTTGCCAAATAAAAATAAATGACACCCAATTAAATATGAATTTCAGGTAAACAACCAATAATTTTTTAGTTTAAGTGTGTTCCATGCAATATTTGGGATATATTTATACTAAAATATTGTCATTATCTGCATTTCAAATTTAACTGGATGTCCTATATTTTAACTTGCTACATCTGGCAACACTGAATAGTATCTTATCTCATTTAATCCTCACAGCAGCCCTATGAGATAGGTACTGTTTCTACCCTCATTTTAGCAACTTTAATCAGAATAGAAA